CACCGAACTATGACAAACATTGAGTCACCCTTTGCTACCTTTGCTTAGAACCATTTAGTGTGCCGGTAAACCACACACGCTCCACTAACGTCTTCACAAGGGCACAAAGTGTAATTTCATGGAATTGCATCAATTCACTTTTGCCTAAGTAACTAAGATTGGGAATTTGAAAAACATTTAGTTACTTTGTATTTCATTATACTTATAATGGAAGGTTTCGTCCTATCCTACCCGTTCGGCTAATGACCCTCCACTAGTCAAGAGTGCGGTGGGTAAGAGTGGATACCCATTCAATCGCCATTTTATAGGCAATTTCCTTAAACACCCCTTATAGACCAGCTTCGTGAATGAGGCCTACTAACGGTAAGACTGACTTTTACTCATACATATATATAATGTTAGACTTTTAATATTATATATAGTATAGGGTGCATTTTATACTTTTAAAATACTATGTGGTTAACTTTAACAATTACACTTTTAATTCAATTAAATGGTTAACCTAAACCTTTATGGATTTATTAAACCTCTTTTAATTATACTCCTTAATTAATTAATAAAACCATAAGGGTGTGATTTGAACTTTTCAAAACATTACTAGGGTTTTAGAATTTAACATTTCTAATTAAACTTTTAATCAACTTTTAAATTCCAAAACTTGAGGGCAAATTTTGAAACCTTTTTCAAAACATTAGGGTTTTAACTATTTAAATTTCAAAACCAAAACTTTTGGGTTCAAATTTAAACTATAAAACCTAAAGGGGAAAATATGAAACCTTTCATAACAACAAGGATCAAATAACAAATAATTTTAAATTAACATTTAATCACATAATTATCCATATTTGATTTATTTAATGATTTCTTGCAAAACAATTTATCAATTTACTCAAAATAATTAATCAATTATCTTATAAGGAAACAATTATCTTGTTAATTGATAATTATCTTTAATTAGATCAAGAATATAGTCATATATATCATAAAATCGGATTTATATTGATCTAACATGATAAGGTAACTATCCATATGCAAAAACAGCAAGAAATCCCGAGATAAGCATTATCTGACGAGTTGACTCGTCGAGTTAGGCATGGACTCGTCGAGTCTGCATGGACTCGGCGAGTTCAGCCATGGACTCGGCGAGTCCAGCCTCCATAATCCAAAAAATCGAATTTTCTAGTTATTCAATGCATCAATACAATTGAAACCACTCTAGGCTCTGATACCACTGATGGGTTTTAGTCATAAGACATCCTATGTTCTCATACAAACCCTAATGCTTGGATCTAGGTTTCTCTATTGTACATGCTTTGAATCCAAGACTATAAACCCTAATTCTAGCATGCAAGTAATCATATTAACATGTAATTAGGTTTAAGATCATACCTTGATTTTATGTAGCAATAACAATCCCAAATCTCCTTGTATTGACTTTGGAAGGCTTAGAGTCACAAGTGTCACTCCTCTAATGGTTCACAAACACCATAAGCAAGAGGATGAAGAGGAGAGAGGATGGAGGCTACCAAAAACGTGTAGAAACCCTAGCAAGAACATTAGCCACGTTTTGAGCCTTAAGGGGTCTTTATATAGTTGGGCTATTAGGGTTATCTAACAAGGAAACCCTAATTTGGATGCTTAAGCCCTAAGCAACCCATAGACTCCTTTTATCAAGCCCATGGACGATTTCCTTATGGGTTCCCCATTAGAATTCGTCCATCCCTTAATACAAGGCAATCCATGGCCCAAATTGCAATTATCCTATAATTACAATTCCAATCCCTTAAGTTTAATTAATCTCTTTTAGTCACAAAACTAATTACCAATTAATTATTGACTAATATTAATTAAACAATATGATTTCTCCTTTAATATATTATTCCCATAATATATTAATAAATCATATTTAATCCTTACTCTCCATAATTCATCCTATCAAGTTGCTTTGGTGAAGGCAACCCAAAAGGACCATGCACCATCGGGTCAAGTACATACCAAAATAGTTATGGACTTAGACACTAATCCAACACAAGCATTCTCAGATGTTGACTTAGGTGGTTGTGGATTAGATCGTAAAAGCACAACTGGAGGATGTTAATTTCTAAATGGTAAATTGGTTAGTTGGCAATCAAAGAAACAAACTTGCGTTTCTCTATCCACTGCAGAAGCGGAATACATTGCTGCAGCATCCTGCACATCTCAAGTCGTATGGATACAAAGTCAACTCAGGGATTACAGGCTAAACATGAAGAAGATCCCACTATATTGCGACTCTGAAAGCACAATTTGGATTTATCACAACCTAATGCAACATTCGAAAACAAAGCATATAGTACTGAGGTACCATTTCATCAAGGATCACGTCGAAGATGGTAACGTAGAAATTCACTTCGTCAGAACGACTGATCAACTAGCAGACATATTCACAAAGGCCTTACCTGAAGCGAGCTTCAATAAGATTCTACAAGGCCTAGGAATGATGCAAGCTGAATCTGTACCAAAATCGCTTTCGCTTTCATAAAGGTAACAAGCGAAATAGAGCGAACCGAAATGAACCGAACGTTCGGTCTGTTTTGGGTTCTGTCCTTCTGAACTCGTTCGCTTCTTTTTCTTAACAAGTCATTTTAACTGTATTCTTTTGTAAACTTTTTCATTGCTTCTTTTTCACTTATAAAATTCCAAATAATAAAAAAATAAAAAAATAAAATAAAATAAAAAATATTTTTCTCTTTTAATTCTCATAAAAATACATATAAAATCCAAAAATATTTTTCTCTTTTGTTCTATTGGTCAATTCTTACAAAATACAAAAATATTTGTTTATTTTAATTTTTATATCTAACGTTTTTATTTTTGTCTAAGTGAAATTCTCGATGGTGGAGCTCAAACAGGTATCTCTATTTCATTTTATCCCTTAGTTAGATGTCCCTAGAAGCATGTTGTTGTATGTTGACTAAAACCTCGAAAGATTTTGAGTGAAGCCTTAATAACATAATATATACAAATCATGTTTTCCCAATTTAGGCTGTAATATTTACTCAAATCATGAGCTACCTTACTCTACTCATATTGAGTTTAGAGTTTTCTGCTTGATCACACTTTTTCTTTAGAGCAGAGGTACATTCGCTTCCTATACCATCTCTAATATTTTTATCCATTATACTTCGTATCACCAATATAACCCTTGAGACTCTCAGCATTTACCACTGAGGTTTATGGTTATGCAAACTCTATGTTGATGATCTTAGTCTCATGCCACTATGTACAAAGTGAAACCCACAATTCAACACCTCAAATGAATTGACGGTGAATTCTCATATTCAATAGCTTACTTGTTACCTAAATAAATCTCTTTTTATTTTTGCATGATCTTTTAGGAATTTGTCTAAAAACAAGGCTTTTCTTCCCTTAAAGATCCAGTTTTTTTTTTTTTTTTTTTTTTTTTTTTTTTTTTTTTTTTTTTTAGAGAGATTTCTATCCTTCTTTTTGTCACTATAAAAGATATCTTACCCACTTGTTCAACAGATCACAATGATCTCACAAGTACTTCATTCAGTTTCGGTCTCATGTCGAGTATCAAAATTATGAATTGAAGCGAAAGCCACCCTTTATAACCTTTAAAAGATGCCTTTCAATACTTCTTAACAAGTTATTGATCATTATTTAATGGGAAACCAAGCAAGCACTTCAATTTCTCTCTTAACTTTGAAGGAAGTGATTCATGCCCAGAATCCATTGTTTTATGTCTATTTAAGGCATCACAGATTATCCCAAAACATTTGCTTTATTTCTTTATCTTTCACACTCTATGCATGGAAATTTTAATTTTCCACACTCTGGTTCTATTAATGGTGTTCAATAAAGCATCACAGGCAACGACGATTCAAATATTTAACGAGTGACGATTGGGATAAAGTGGAAGCTGACTCATTGTTTATCCAATCGGTTTGGTAATTTGAAAAAGCACAATTTATGGAATGGCGTGCCAAAAAGGAAAAGACCTTTCTCTTTCCTGCATCATCCTCGGTATGCAACCGTTCACCTGTCAAGTCAGGCGCTATTTTTGAAATAATCCCTGATCTCAGCTGGATTTTTTTCTCTCCTACTTGTATGTATAAAAGGGATTCGAACGGTACTCTTTAACCTTTACCACTTCCCAAATTCTCTCAAAGAACAACAATGATCTCTCCTACTTTTCATCATCTTCTTCAAGAAACTACAATGGCAAACTCTTCGTCCATTCATGTCAACCACTTCTCACCATCAAACCCCAACTGAACCTGTTGATCGATCTCACTCCGTTTTTCTATGAGCCTTACATGATGTACGTTTTTGAGTGTCTCAAATACTCACCTCTTGTCGAAGTTCTCACCAAGGTAGAAGTCGTTCCAATGTCGTGCCTTTCTCTTGTCTACTCTACTGCCTATTATGACAAGGTTCATGAAAGGATTCACTTTGAAATCCACAATGAGAAGACCTCTATCTCCAAGCATCGCTTCTGTCCCCTAATTGGTCTTTCTCAAGATCAATCTCTGGTAAATCCTAAATCCATCACCACTGGTCAATTGTTTTCTATGTTTTATCAGATGGGATATACCAAATCACTTACCACCATCACAAAGTTCAAGAAGTCCTGCCTTCCTCCTCAATGGAATGGCCTTTTCACGCTGCTTTTCAAAGGACTCTCTGAGTGAAGCGCTGGCTCAGATGGTGCAAGCAAGTCTTTCATGACTGTACTATATGGGTTGTACCATGGGATCCACTTAGATTTTGGCACTATCATCAGGAAGCAGTTGGTACAAAGCTTGGTCACTTCATCCAGGCACTCTAAGATCTCGTGTGGGAGATTTTGGACAATCATCACCACCTAGGTAATGGACCGCCTTCATGTTCCAATCATGGCGGATTCCATTCTCTCCTCCATTGCTACCTTTCATACTACGAAAATTATTGTCACCGATCCCACCAAGTACTCATTTATTGGATCTATTCCGGAGGCCATGCTCGCTCCTATCTCTACCTCGAGTAACGGTCTCCAACAATACAGGAAACATCCGTCGTTAGGTCCGAGGGAGCTTACCCCAGCCATGGTTCGCTCTATTGATGAGGCTGACAAACCTATTAAAAGGGGTAAGAAACCGGAAAACCAAAAACAGGCACAAGTTTCCAAACCCACCAAAGGGAAAACCCCTAAGAAGCGAAAGTATGATAGGGCTGTTACCTCACCTCCTAAACCGAAGAAGCTGAAGAAGCCCGATAGGAGGCTCATACTACAATCTTCAAGTGATTCAGATTCTGAGTATGTTCCTCCCCAACATAAGATTACCTCTCCTTCAGAATATGAGAGCGAATGCTCTAACGATGAGGCTTCGGGCCGAGGTGATACTCCACCTCGCTCGCCTACCCCAGAAATTCCAGTTCTCTCTCACCCTCCTTCACCTCCACATGTAACCATCGTTGTATCTATCCCTCCCATTTTCCTATTCCAACCACTCAACCATTCACTACAATTCCCATCCCTAGTCCCATATTCACAGACACTACCACTACCACAACAGCTGCTCAATCTACTGCCCTTACTCCACCAGTAACAACCGAACCACTTGTCACAACCGAACCTCCACCTACTTCGAAAACCTTATCTCCCACACAATCTACTGAAAAAACTCCTATTCTAGGCGGTGAGGACTTGGAATTTGATTCCACGTATTTCAATCCTTACCGAGTGCAGAGCGACGATAATGATGATGTGCTTGATACGAAACATCATCTCAAGGCAATAAATGAGAAGCTTGATCAACTACTCTCATCCTCTACCTCCGGAGCTTATTCTGAAGTTGCATTGAAGGCCTTGTTCTCCTCCGTTGTTATTGAACACAGTGTCGCATTAACTTCTGCAGCCAAAGCAATCGAAGCCTCTACTTCCCAATGTCAACAAGCCTCAATTGCTGTTGATGCTTCGACTAAAGAATGCAAGGAAGCAACCGCAAAATTTGATAAACTAGTTTCTGAAGCTCACTTGTTTTTAGATTCCTTGCAGGCTGCTGCTGCTAAGAACACTCAAACTGTCAACGCTTTAGTAGAGAACCTTCAACGGTCTCTTCAATCTGAACGCTCAAACCTTGAAGCGGCATGACAAGCCATTGAAGCAGCCAACGTAACTCTACATGCTAACGTCAATGACCGTTTGACTCAATTGGAGGCCGAATTGGCTGTAGAGAATCTCATCGTGGATGAGCTTGATAGGCGCACCTCACAGCTGAAAATGCAAAACCTCAACTTGCGTACTGCTACTACTGAGCTCAATGATCTAAAGTCGGAGAAGGAAGTTGTCCAGAGTTCAATGGCTGATGTTGACTCCATCCTCCTTCATCTCCTTGAAGCACACGATCCACTCATCACCATTAGCACCCGACGACATCTGGCTGACAAACTTAGGCCATCATTGGACATCCTTAGTCGTATCGAGAGTGTTTCGGTGACTGGTGTCCAGACAAAACAAGGGGGAGAAAAGTAAACTTAACCTCCTCCTACTGAACCGAGACCATCTACTTAACCGAAGGGTAATGAAGCTTCACTCAGTAACAAAGGGAAGAAGAAGAAGAAAATTGGAGAAGATGACATAGATGATGAGGATGACATATATGCTGAAAATCCTAAAAATCCTTTTCAAAAAACAAAGCTCTCTGAAAAAGAGTTGGAAGAAAAACTCAAGAAACAACAGGCTGAGTTAGAGCGAAAGAAAAAGGAGTCGGAGCTCCTAGAGAAGAAAAAGTCCATGTTTCCTGTGTGGACTGCAGTTTTGCTCCAGAGATGCGCAATCGATGAGCCAAGCATTCTTTGACTTGAGCCAGTTATGTCTTTTGGGCTCGAGAACTTCAAGGACGCACAGTTCGACATGCTAATCGCCCGAAAGTCATTTGTCTTCCATTGCTTTAATTCGACTGCTGCTGTTCCTTCCCCGGACCCGAAGGTAGATAGGGATCTGCTGGACTTCTACCTGGAGTTTGCTCAACCCCAGTACTTGACCTGGATCTTGAAGAACAGTACAACTGTCAAGGTTTTGAAGCCTTACTCAGCGGGGAAGTTTGTTAATATTCAATTCAAAGTGACTCGAGGCTCCAACGGCTCGGTTCACAACTTCACCCTCCTTGATCTGCCGAACGTGAATCTCCATCACTGGATACTCCTCAAGAACATTCTTCTGTTAAATCATAAGGAGTACCAACCAATAATTGATCATGTAAAGCGTATGCTTGTTTGCTACATACACGAAGTGGCAAAGATGGACCAGGAGATTGCGTCTGCCATACATAAGCGAACAATGATCAAGACTATGGGTAGAGCTGGAAATGTCAACACTATGGTCAAGGGGAAGAATGATACGGATTACCAAACTGTTATGTTCCTCAGGGGCGAAGGTCAGAAATGTATGTTCGCTCTTGTTGATAAACACCTATTCTCAACATCATGCCTGGAGCATATCTTAGAGATCATCCAGAGGTGTGATCAAAACAGCGCTGCTGATAAGAAATTATTCACTGATATGCTGAGGTGGTACATACAGTTTCGATAGACAATTCTCGCAATAATTCCTCGTCTGTTCAAAGTTATAATGACAGTGAAGCCCACACATAATAAATGATCTCTCGCCTCGTTTAACGCAAAGGGATTGGGCCTGTCCAACCGTGCATGTATTGTCGGTATTGGGCCTGTCCAACCGTGCATGTATTGTACTAGGGTTTAGTATATAATTTGCATGCATGCAGTCTTAGAAGTCATCACTTTCATTATTTGTTTTCTCTAAGTTTTGTAAACCCTAGCTCGCCTCTACAGTGGAAGTTCTTTGTCGAGCTCTGCTGAGGTGTGACTTTATTTTGAATCATAAGCATACATTTGATTCCATCCTATGTTTAGTTTCATACAGTTTCTGACTTGTTCGATTTCTATAATCATACTTGTGAAAGATCTAATCGATCTAGAGCTTAATTCTCATCAATAAGGGACCTAGAGCATGGAGGAGAGATAAAACTTGGTAAATCTAGCAATTTAAGTGCTAATGTCCAAGAAGTGTCGAGATCTGAAGTTATAACTTCATAATACACTCAAATCCATGAATGACTCCAAAATAAGCTACTAAAGGCCACAAACCTCTCAAAGAAGAGATCTAGCAAATAAATAGTTAAGGTATCGAGTTTATATCTCCAAATGGTTGCAACAACACTGACAATCCTGGATCTAAAGCTTCTCCCTTCTACCTTGCACCACCAACATCACACTCCTTCAACAAAATTACCAAAGACACTCTTTAGGCTCAAACACACAAAATGGGGAATGGGGGACAATTAGGTTTTTCTCTAGAATTATGGGGCGATGAGGGAGGCCACAATGAAGCATTAAGGCCTTTATATATGGTATAAAAATATGAAAATTAGGGTTTCATTTTAGCCACGATAATCGTCGAGTAGGTTTCTTAACCCGTGTCCCAAATTATTCATACTCTTCGAGTCTGGGGCTGCCAACTCATCGAGTTCCTTTATGAAAATGAATAAATTAAGATGTTAAATACATACCATAAACCAGGCGTTACACATTCTCAGCCTCCAACGCTCTGAAACTAAGCTCTAGCCTCTCGTTTATTCCTTGGAGTGTTCTTGATTTGTTTGTGAGTTTTGAGAAGAAGAAGAAACTTGTAGATCTTGGAGAGATTGATTTAGCTCAAAAGTTTCCACCTTTTAGGCACTCTATTGGCACTATAAGTTATACAGTTCCCTACTTTACTTTTTTTCCATGCATAAATCTAGGTTAGAAATAAATTTTGGTCCCATTTTGTTCTTTTCTTTGAAGTTCTTGAAGTTTGGGAAACTTTAGGACCATATGCTTGATCTTGAATGATTTATGGACCTTATAAGGAGCTGATAAGTGATTTTTTTAAATCCTTTGTTTCCATGCAAAGGATTCAATCCATTTTTTTAGAATTAAGAATTTGTGTTTGAGTTTTGTGCATTATTAAGACTTGTAGGTGATGTGATACGATTCTCAATGGCCAGTCTCGATTGTTTTATCACATAATAGTCGTTACATGAACAAGAGATGGTCGTATTCTGTTAAACATTGAACATCGACTTTATGAACATGTTTATATTTGCTCACATTTGGTAAGTCTAAGCTGTCTTGTAACATCCATAAATTTTACGCCAAATTTAAAATTTCTCAATCATAAATAAAAACCAAATAGCATTGTTTACCAAATGTTTTCAAATCATGTTTCATCAGAGTGTCCCAAAAATCATAACATAAGGATGAGGAGAGGTACGGTCACGCCTTCGCCTTGGCATGATCTTCTGAAGTAATTGAAAAAATAAACTGAAAACTGTAAGCCCAAGGGCTTAGTGAGCTACCCCCAAAATACCAATACCACACTGACAATACCATATCAATAATAATCAATCAATCAACATGCATACTGGGCCATCAGCCTGACTAGACCGCCCTATCGGGCCTACAGTCTGTCTGAATCTATCCCGAGCCTTCAGCATGACTGGTCTGCCACGCGGGCCTACAGTCTCCCTAGACCGCTCATAGAGTATATTGGCCTTCAGCACAAAGGAGGACTGCCTCAACCCAACCAAAAGCAGATAACCATGTGCGCATACTATCATATATATGCCTATACAAACATCAAACATATATGTCACACTGATCATCAGTCATAGAATTCTCTTGTAAATAGAGTACCGACCTAGCAGGTCACTAACATACCAATCCCTACGTATCATAAGAGCATAACATATTGTCTACCCTGATTCTGATCTAACATATCATAATTATATGTAGCATACCATAACAATAACAACTAAAGGGTCAGCCTTGGTGCCGTAGACCCTATTGATATAGTGAGGATAACTCCCCTCGAAGATGTCGACACGAAAGGTAAACTCCAACTCTCAGATCACTTGAGACAGGCTCCGCCACCTATTATCACAGTACATCATACTCATAAGTCCTTAACCTTATAAGGTATTCCATAACCCACTAGTCAAAGTCCTCAGTCAAGGTCAACAGTCCATGTTGACCTTAACTTGCCGAGTACCCTTGGCTACTCGCCGAGTTCCCTAAAGCACATTCCAACTCGCCTAGTCATCGTAGTGACTCGTTGAGTTCCTTTGATTCTCGATCAAACTTTAAGGCCACCCGTCGATTTCCTTCCTTTCAACTCGATGGATACACACTCATACATATCCAAGAGAAAAATCATCCGACTCGCCAAGTTGTTCTTCAACTCGTCGAGTTTATGGCAATCTTCATCGGACTCACCGAGTTGTTCATCCAACTTGTCGAGTTCACGGCCATCTTCATGTGACTCGCTGAGTCGCTTTGCGACTCGCCGAGTTATTTTAGTACTTTTTCCATACAGACTTATTTTTGAGCCATGCAACGGCTCCAACTCATAGATCCAAGCTTCTAGGGCATGCTTATCACGTAAAGTTGCAAACTTTACATGCATGCATGGCTATAAAGGCTTTAAATGTCTATTTTAAGTTCTTAATGGAAGTTCATGCTCAAGAGGGACCTTGATCACAACCAATACTATGACTTTATGCTTCTAGAATCCAAGGAGGGTCCAGATCTGAAGTTACAACTTCAAATCTAGCCCATAAATCATCATATCAACTTGAAAATCCATAAAAATCCATATAGACTCAACAAAAGGGAAAAAGGGAAGTAAGGATGGCACTTTGATACCTCCAAAGGATGCTAGCTGAGGAAAATCCTGCTTCCCACTCCTTCCTTGCTTCAATTTCCTTTGCACTCTTAGCTTCTTCCTCTAAGATTCTCTTTTCCAAGCTTCAAACGCTACACCAAGGCACACACACACACATGAATTTGGGTTTTAAGGGGCTCTCAAAGACTGCAAAGAGGCGAAAGGAGGCTAAGGCTCCTTTAAATAGAGGTGCAATACCCGAGATTTAGGGTTTCATCTGCCAGCTCCTACTCGCTGAGTCCCAATATGGACTCATCGAGTAAGTCACTTAAAACGCGATCTTATCTAGCCGCTACTCGACGAGTAGGTCAACCAACTCGTCGAGTAGAGCTTAACCCAATAAAATTTATTTAAGCAATACCTGAGAATCG